TTGCAGCTTCTCTCTGTTCTACCTGTTCCTCGTACCATAACCCCACTCCTGCTCTGCCTGCACTAAGGCCACAGTCTGGTTCCCCTGGGTCCCAGGGCCCAGCCGAGAGCAGGTAAGGAGCACGTGGTCAAGTTATCACCTCCCTGTCCCCTCTCCTCAGGCCTGGTCCTCCACCCTTACCACCTGTGTGGGCATCCCTTTTCTGGCCCTGCCGGGTGACCCTCCCTGCACCTACCATGTTAATCCCAAGGGTCTCTTGGATGTCTCCTGGTATGACCGCATAAAGCACTGAGGCCCCCACAATGGCCCCCGTCAGCTGAGCAGCCACATAGGCCACGGCACGGGGCAGGGAGATTTGGGAGCTCACGAGGAAGGCCAGCGTCACAGCAGGGTTGATGTGGGCCCCGCTGGCCTTCCAGGTGACCTGCACAGCCACGGCCGTGACCAGGTTGAAGGTGATGGCGGTCTGTAGCATGGTGGGACGCGCCGAGGGCCAGGGCAGACTGGAGCCCACACCGAAGAACACGTACAGCCCTGTGGCCAGGAACTCAGCAAACAGCTCCTTGCTGATAGCTCTCCAGAGCTGGCCCAGCAGCATCCTGGCCAAGCCTCACCCGCCTGGCCACACGGTGTCCTGGTTCTGCTGCTTCGGCTGCCGCCTCTACTCCTGGGGCCTCTTGCCTCTGATCTTCGCTGTCTCCTGGGGTCTCTTGCCTCTGGCCTGCTCTGGCTGTCTCACTGTGTTGAAAGTCCTCTGGCCCCCACCTGGTCAGACTGTGCAGGGAGCAGGCGCACAGGATTATGTGTGTCTGGGTGGGTGGGAGGTGCGGGGCTCATATAAGGAGTGGTGCTCACACGCTTGCCCCACCCTGAGCTCACCTGACAGCTGGGGGAGGGGGGCGGCCTCCAGGTGCTGAGCTGGAACCTCCAGGTTTCCAAGCTGGACGGGCCTCACTCTGCTGCAGGCACAGGCCTGGCCTAAGGGTGGCAGGTACAGGAGTCATGGTGGGCATGGGATTCCAGGGTGCTCACATCCCGATGTCAGCTCAGAGGCAGCAAGCTCGCCAGGTCCCCAAGTCCAAGGCCTGCTTCAGAGGCTCCTGTTGTCCCGGTCCCCTCTGCCTGCAGGCTCTGCCTCCAGATGGGCTCACACTATTCTATGCCCCATAAACCCAGATGTGAAATGAAGCTCTTTCCCCCTTTCCCACCCAAACCCCTACTCGTAGAAAGCAGATGTGAATAGAGTCAACTTTACTAAGGACATGGGCCTGTGTGGGTGCAGAGGGGACAGAGGGAGGAGGGGTTTATTCCACAGCTAATGAGACGACACGCATGGCAGTGGAGAATTTCCCCTGCCAGCTGGGAATTTCCACTGGTCCTTCACTGCATTGTCCGTGCCCCTTTCTGTCTCCCTTGCCCACCCCCTCCCTTTCAGCCCCTTTCCCCTCCACTATTCTGCGCTCCTCCTTCTCAGGGGCCTGAACAATTCTGCTCAAGCCTCTCACAGGGCAGCCGAACCCTTTTTGTGGCAATGCTGGCCCTGAGGTCACCCATGCCCTAGGCTCTTCCCTTTTAACCCCAGCAGCATGTCGAGGTATTTTCTCAAACAAAGGTGCTGCTTCTCTCCCTAAGAAGAATC